TCTCCTCCTCTACCCCCTTTTTTCGCGTAATTAGCCTCGTGCACTCGGGCCAATTTCAAGTGTCCGCTTACGTAAACTAAACTAGCATTTGTGTGCAGCTGCCGGTCGTGCGCTTATACTTTTCTGCTTATTATTTCTCCAAAGTATGTATGGCTATGAAAGTTTGTTTATGTGCCGTGTGCACCTACGGACGCGTATCAACGTTGAATTATGCACGCAAATACGGCTGAAATTAAAATGCAAAACAAGCCTCGTAAGAAAAGTCCATAATTATAATTTTACCAAGTATTTCGTCGAAGCGCACAGTCTTCTGCATAGGCGGAAAGTTATGTAAGACACGAAAATTCATACACAGACAATATCCGGCGTAAATATGTTTCAGCTTTCAGTGGTTGTCTTTCCCAAACTTGACTCGCACTACTTGCGCGCGCGCGCGTGCGATGATGTATACACGGAAAAAATAAAAGAAAGAGGGAGGTGGAGGATTAATATATCCTCGAATCCCCTTACACATTCTCGAGTTAAAGTCTATTCGAACAACAACAAACAACAACAAGAACAAAAACAACAGGGAAGCGGCGGCACGACGACGAATGAGAGAACCGTTAAACTTTGCAAGCAATTAAAGAAGAGCCGTTGTTCGTTAAAACTCGCCGTGATCCGCGTTGTGCTGCACTGCACACGATTGTTTAGAGGAGGTATCTCAGTTTTTCTTCCTTTTCTATCCTACTTCTTTTATACTTCGTCTTTGAAAGCTATACAAGAGCATGGGGTGAGAGGGGGAGGGGGGTGCTCTCGTGAGGATTTGTGGCTATGTAGCAAAAAAGAAATAGGACAAATGAACGGCCAGAGTGGACGCTATAAAGTATTATATCTTAACCCCTATATGTAACGGCTTCTCTATTTCACCTGTCAACTTTTTTTACTACGTTCTATCTCTCCTTCCTTGGCTCTCTCATGGCTTTGTGGACATGGGCTATATCTGATGTGCTTTTTTATTTTTTTCGCCTTCGTGATGCTCGCTGCGACGCTTCTTTATGTATTTTCCTCGTTGCGGCAATTCTTTATTTTAACGCAACTCGACGAATCTGCTTCGCCCAAGGATATTTTCCGGTCGCGATATACTTTTGGTATTTCAATTAACGCAAAAAAATCGAGCTCGCGCGTCATTCACTCGGACAATTCGAATGAGATAAACCGTTGGCGCGGCAACCGACAGTGTAAAATATTTCATAAAATATAACGGTGTACAATATTTTTTTCCCTCCAGCAACGGCAAAACAAGAACGAAAAAGAGGACAGTTTGACGCTTCGACGTGTACTGCGTATGTTTGCGGTGATCTCATTATAAAACGCCACATACGTATGTATAGGGAATATACATATTGCAGAGCCGAGGATGTTGAATTATACAATAGCGAAGTACGCGCCGTGTATATAGCGGAGAGGAGGATGGGGTTTAGGGACACGTGTTTATCGATTCTACGAGAGGCCGGTAGATTTCAATGCTTGAATTTAATAACAGTACGGCAGGGAGCTACACGGTGAAATTTTCGCCAATTCACACGCGTGTATAGGCACGTTGTACTACGTAGGTGTGTACTATATGTGCGTATTCGTATTCGTTATTTTTCTGCGGCAACCACCTTCTGGCGGCATTGTTCGGACGTTTGAATGAGTGTCGTGCAAAACAATGGCCTGCGAAGTACATCACATGAAAGTTTGAAGTTGCGCGCGCGTAGCTTCGCACATTATCTCGCGCGTATACCTGTCGCGCGTTGTAACTCCAGGGAGGGAAATGAATATTTTTTACGTCATTGGTATTTAATAATAGTCGGCTGCGCTACGACCGAGGCAAAGGAGAGCTGGAATCATATAAACCGAAGCGAGAGCTTAAATCAACATACGCACAGAATATAGCGGCGTAAAAAGGGAAGAGAGCTTGTAAGCTCGGGAAAAGAATAAAGGTAAAGCGGTTAACTTGTGCAACCGCACGAAAAAAGAAGCGCGAAGAAACGTAACGCCATCCCTCGTTGACTATTTCCCCTCGAGCAGAGGCGCCTCGGTGAGAGAGAGAGAGAAAAGAGGAAGCTGCATGTCTTGAAATAAGAAGATCCACGAGTGATACGGACTATTCTTTTGCGCAAAGAAAGGAAGCCCATACATACGTATAAACGTAGCCCATATAATGAATTAAACATCGCCTGGTGCCGGTTTCGAGCGCGGAAAAAATAAAAAGGCGAAGATGGGCGCGAAATTGCCTTGCATTTTTTTACCCATACAGATGTATACATCGTTCGCCAAGCCCGCTCAACCCTACTACTATAGCGGCCGTGCCTGCATACACATCGTACAATTTTACTTTGAATTCACAATGGAGTTTGCACATTTTCATGGAGATGTAAAAGTCTACTGTTTGAGTTTTGGATTATCATCGGGCGCATAAAGCTCCAGATAAACGAGATAGAAACTATATATTCAAACGCGATATTATCATTTTGTTGAATCATCGCGAAACGACACGTACCCACGCACGAATAAACTCGCCAATCAATGAGACGTCCAACGCTGATGTAGTTCCGATTGCGGTTTAGGATACTTTCGATTAACTTTGTTTACGCTTGTACGTGCGCACTTCATTACGGTAATACTTGAAATTGTAAAATGTCACTTTTACGCGCGCAGTACGAGTCCTGGATCTTGCAGCACTGAATGAATGCGAATTAATTATCGATAAGTTTGATAGGCGACTCTCGTGCGTGCAGTGCAGCACGTGTATTATGTATAGGCAGAGGCGCGGCATTAATTACATGCCCAGGTCCTCCAAAACACAGGGTATTATTCAATGTAGCAGCGATAAATTAATAGATACACGAGAGCGCGTACGTACAGCGCGAACGAATTTAATGTAATAACATACAATAATTGATACAGCCGCGCATAAGCTTAATTGAAATTTTCCGAAAGAGAATCAGTTTATTATCATTTCGTGCGAGTTGCGCGAGTTCGTCGCTCGCGTCCTACATATATACACACGGCGCAGTGCGAGTTCGCGCGAAACGTTTCAAAGCGAGAAACGTTGCAGCAGCTCATGCCAGGGCACGTGAGGGCGTCGTGGGAGAAGAAAAAAATCTTTAATAATTATAAATAACAACGCAGCGAGCTGGCGCGCAACTCGAGCGCTGTAAAAGCGCGCGTGTCCTGCAAAGAGGTTTTTCATACTCCGCCTGGCCGTGTGCATGGAGCTCCGCTGTATATATATAAGAGCGTGCGTCTTCATTAATGGTAATGATCTTGCCACGTCGCGAGAAAGGAAACATCGTCATTCGTATTCAGAGCGCGTGCATAGAGAGAGAGAGAGAGAGAGAGACGAGCGAGCTGAGGGGGCGGAGGGGCTGAGTTTCCAAAGTATATAAGGAGCTCTTATATACTCGCGCGCGTACTGCAGCGACTCGACTATAAGCTATACATATTTCCGTATTATGTAGGTAATGATAGAGCGACACAGTCCCTTTCCAATAGTAATTTATAACAAAAAAAAGAGAGAGAGAGAGAAGAAAAAATTTTTATTGTCGGTATGAAAGACAAGCTTTCTTCCTTTTTTTTTTCTGCTCGCGATAAATACTATCGACGTTTTGATCGATACGTCGAGGCCTTTCATTCTCTTTGTTATTTCATGTACGACTGGTCAGTTATTATTTTTACAACAGAAGTGGAAGATTAAAAAGTATGCATCGACGAATACGAATAGCTATGCACATATTTTTTTTCGCCCATAGCAATACTTCGATGTACAAAATACGTATAATATCTGCGCCAGTAGATGCGCATTGGCAATCTCAGAGTCTACTGAAAAATCATGTCCAACAAGGGGTATTAAGCGTCGTTTACTTCGATACTTTTTCCACGTAATTTTTTTTCCTATCTAGTCCAGCCCGAGAGACTCTCTAATTAAAATTTTCTATGATAGCGCTGACTGGTGCTCGCGCGCCTGACATCTAGTGAGCCCGACGAATGCGCACTTGCAGAGGGTCGTATACTTGCAGGCGCCCTGCTATATATATCGTGGCTTGTGTACGCTTTCTCTCTTTTTTTAAAGCACTATACTATGTAGCATGAACGCGCCGCTCTGTCGCTTTGATGCGTGAAAAGTATATATATCGAGCTGCTTTACGCGTAGGTGGTGAAAAATGTATGCGCAGTAATCGTATGAAGTTTGAATTTTCTTGGGTAATATAAAGTATGAACAAAAAAGCTCGAGCTACTTCATTTTTTTCCCCATTACCAACGCAGTATTTGTTGGCGATCCATGCCAACGTTGTAGGTCGAGAAAAATATTTTTGCTACCTTATATTTTTAGTTCTAATGACTCACGATAGCAAATATGTTTAATGCGGCATAGTGAAAATTTTTCCAAAAGTTTCCAACAAAAATTATTCATTCACTTGAAATGCCAAACTTTCGCCAAGAGACGAAAGCTCGAAAGCTCGACTAATAGCTTTATATAGTCGATCAATCGGCTCTCTTTCATTCGTTAAGGGACGTAAGAACGACCCGATGTGCATATTTAAAGGGCCAGTCATTAGGAATACTTTGTGATTAATCAGAGAGCCCCGCGGCGGAACATTGAAGTAACTTTTCGAAATCGAAAAGCTTGAAACAAATATAGCATATTTTTCGCGAAATTCTCGCTTCACGTGCATGCAAGTGCACGGCCCCTCTCTCCACGATCGCACAGCTGCACTCTACTCTACTCCACTTGTTATTTCTCGACTACTCGTACAAGCTCACGATCGTGCGGGCATTTGAAAATAACCAAGAGCATCGCGCGCGCGAGCAGTAGCAGTGGCAGCAGAAAGAGTGCGTGCGTATATGCGCTATTCTTAGCGGCTTCGCTTGCGCGCGTGTGCGTATCTCGCTAGCTCCCGCGCACTCTCTTTTATTCGCCGCACGAAAAAGTCGACGACGATGTTTTAGTTTATTTGCGATCCGCACAACGGCCAACATCATGCGTGAGTAGGTATCGCGCATCGGCTGCGGATCATCGCTCGATCGCCTCGAGCTTAGTCATCGGTCGCGAGTGATCGCACACCTATACACAGGCGGTATGCGCGCACGACACCCGACCAAGACGACGTAGTCGCCGTGCGATTAACAAAATAAGTCACTGCTGCACAAATTGAGATTTCTGGAATACGTACGTACGTGTATACGTAGCAGCACCAGCAGATGGGCGGCTGTGAAACACGGCATAAACGCAGGCTATAAATACATCAACGAATGAAGAGCATCGGCGTCGAGTATGTGTGCGAGCAGCACAACGGGTGAGTCAGGCCGAAATTATGGTCAACGCTTCAACCGAGCCAGCTGCGGCTGCGGCGCCTCTGCAGCAGTCTTGCGCCGCAGAGCAGCCCGCGAGCAGCGCGGATAATTTTGTCCTTCGTCGCGACGCCAACAACAAAGCCAACGCGCTTGGATTTTCCCTCTTCAGATGGTTCAAGAGGCACGACGCCGCCGCCGCCGCCGAGCACCAACGCACTCGCAATAGGCAACACTTCTTTCGCCGACCCAAGAGAAGACCGTCGACCTCGAGTATCGACACTTTTTACAGTACCGCGACCGTGAGGAGTTTCGCTTTTCATAGCGGTGTGCATCGCGATGTCGGGGATGGCCTACTGACGCTCGAGCACTCGAGTCGGGCCGTGGGTCCTTTTGCGCCGGGTGCCGTGAAATTAGCCGGTGAAAAGCTCAACACTACGTCCACTTGTACCTTGCCTACGGACTTTTCCCATAGGCAGGATATACAGACGAGATACGCCCTTCATCCCGTTGTGATAAGTTCGTTCGTTTCTTGCGACAGTATACCGATTGCGAAATCTGCCTCGAATCCCGAAAGGTTTGTGAAAGCTCACGACGAGGTGCGAAATGTTGAATCTGTGGAAGACGTTGCCGGAGCCTTAACTCCGAGTACTTCGGCTACTTCGACAGCGAGAAAAAAAGTCCACGTTAAAGGTAAGCGGAAAGCACCGGACCCACCTGTTACAGTGAGTCAGCCGAGGGTCGAGTTGGACGTGGCTGGAGCGATCGTGAGCGACAAACCTCGACGAGGATCCGGAGTGCGACGCGAACGTAGACCCGCTCCGAAACCACCCGGTTACGGGGGACGAGCCAACGACAAGGGTACTTTGTCCTCTGAGGCGTCCTACAACGACATGGATTCTGTACTCATACTTCAAGACTTTCAGACCATAAGTAACGATACTTTGGTACTGCGCAGAGGAGTCTTGTTGTCGAAAAAGGATCTGGAAAGCAATGCGGATACATCGAAACAGGAATCGATCCCCAAAGTAGGTATTATCATGCCTCGACCTTGGTACAAACGTAACGATGGTTCACGCGAATCATCCATCAAAAGAGGCAATGGCGACGTGCTTAGACAACTTCCTTCGCCAACCAAGCTGGAGCCTGTAAAAACCGCTGAGAACGCAGCTTCAGCTTCGAATTCATTCAACTTTGAAAATTCTCTTCACAAACTGGGCTTATTAAATCGCGACAACGATAAAAAGACGAACAAGGAGAGTAAACGAGTCTCGATATTAACGAACATAAGTGAACTAGACAGGGAGGCCGCGGCGATAGTCCGAGAAGAGCAGGCCAGACACCGAGCCTCGCTTATACTGCAAGCTGTCAGATTGAACGACGAGTTCAAGAGACGAATGGAGGACAACGAGGACATTGTTCAGGAAATAGTGAATGCTTCGATCGACGCCTCGCCTAGAAGAACGACGCGAGCTCTCATGCCTAGATTCAATGGATTCGGCAGTATCACGAGGTCGGGAATGTTTAAAAATCATGGCTCACCGAAAACCAAAGCCAAGAGATTTAGCCAAGAATGTTCAAAGGAAACAAAAACCGATGACAGGATGAAAAAAGAGATGGATAGGTATTTCCCCCCAGCTAGGGCTTCTCATTGGGAGGATAGTGCGATTTTTACCGAAATAGTTCAACCGTCCAAGTGTCACAGTAGGGACGAACAAAACAGAGGAAATGTAACAAATATACCAACGATTATCGATACAAGACCTATTCCGGCAGTGGCAGATATTAGGACGATTCAGACGATTATCGATGCTCGACCGATACCTAAAGTGGCAGACGTCAAACCACTACCCCTGGTTTCCGAGATTGATACACCAACCGACGTGAAAACTGAAAAAAGTAACATAGAACTTATCAAATCTTTGGCTGCTGAATTAGACGATGTAGCGATGGGAATCGCAAGATTGAGACGCGAACTCGATGACAGGCCGGGAATGATAGAAGAAGCAATAGCTGATCGTGAAAAAGCTACCACACACAGAAGTCAGAGTCCGGAGTACGTCAAATTTGATGCAAAAAGTGAAATTTTAGCTAAAACAGACAGCGGTGTACCAAGCATACCAAGCATTTCCGAACAAGTTGCCAAGGTGGTTGAAATTTTAGCGAACGCCAACACAGGTATCGGCGCTGTCACCAAATCTGATACACCCGAGGGTGCAAAATCTCCGAAAAAAGTTTCATCAGCCGTTCAAACTAGCGGCAAAGTGCGTCAAGTGGCTAACGAGGGACCGCCCTTACCACCCAAGGGCCGAACGGAAGGCGATCGAGCAGTCAAGCTGGAGAAGAGCCCAGATAACGATTTCGTTAATGCGATGGAGAAATCACTGTACGCAAATGCCCGGCCAAGCTCGTCGTCGAAAGAAGAAGAAACGTCGAGGAAGAAGATTGATTTGCGATCGGCGATGGATAGCGGAGCGACTGGCGCTGCTTTTCCGGACTCTAGACAGCGGCACGACGACGCCCTCGACGGTGAGGCTCTACGCCGTTTCAATTTAGATAATAAAATATCCTTGAAATTGGATTTTTATCATTAACATATATGAAATGTTCGTTTCGTTTTACTTTTTCTTCTCGGTAAAGAGTCGGAAGAGACAAATCGGCGCTTCATGAACACAATAGCGGTTAATCGATCGCTGAGGAAGCTCGAGGCGGCTATAGCGTCGGGCAATCACCGTCAAGCTGCCGTCTTGGCTAAAGAATTGGCGCAGTTAAGGATTCAATGCTGCGTCGTGAGACAAATATCCAACCAAGCCAAAGAAAAACTCAATCTCAATCTGTACATAGAGGACAAACAAGCGCAGCAAGGACCTATACCCGTACAGGTGACTTTTTCAATTCTTTTTTTTTCTTTCTTTCTTTCTTACTTTCTTGACATTAACATGAAAATGACGAATCTTATATATCAGCTCGCAGCCGATACGACCGTGGAGCAGTTGAAAATTAAAATACACACTGAATTCGAGATTCCGGGCAACGTTCAGCGCTGGATTATTGGCAGAAATTTAGCTGACAATGACAAATCGACGATAGAGGAGCTGCAGGCAGTCGAAGGATCCTCGATATTTCTATACATAGTTGCACCGCAAGGTATTAAAAAGTTATTCTTTATTCGATACACAATAGCGCCCGGAGATTCAAGGGAAAAAATTTCTTTCTCAGAGCCGCGAGATGAGGAGACAAAAACAAAGGAGAAGAGCCCGGAGAAAGACGAAGGAGTTCAAATAGTCGAGATAATCGATGAAAATTATGATGAACAAATTTTTCAAGCCACCGAAAAAGAAGACGAGGAAACTGAAGCCGAACTGGAAACGATGCCCGAGCCGCAAGCTCGTCAAGTACATAGATTTTAATTACGAACTTGAAGAATTTTAAATTATCAAACTTTTTCTCGCAGTCTCTCTTTCTCGACGCGTGAGACTAAAAAAGATACATAAAAGTCCTCGATATTGTTGAGCTTTCGTATTATTAAAGTTCCACCGTGACTATAGCATATCTCGCGCGTTTATATTAATAAGTTGAAATTCGCCACTTTTAATTTTTGTATTTTTTTTTGTCTAGCAGGAGTCGGAGATAATTTTACCGGAAGAAAAGCTGAAAAGATACGAAGAACTAATACACCTAGAAAACTGTGGCATAATCACGAACAAAGAACCCATCGAGTGTCCCGTTTGTTTCATGATATGCGGGCCCGAAGAGGGAGTCATATTAAGAAACTGTCTTCACTCGTTTTGCAGGTAAACGCTCACTTAAAATAATGCGTGATTCAAGCCATTGAAATACACGCGTTCCCATCTTTATCCGTGAATCAGTCGAGCTATTTGCGAACGAGTGAAACGAACTCGAGCCACCGCGCGACTGGGCAAAGATCCACGCTTACAACGACAATAAATTATATTTCGTGGTCGAAACAGGTCGTGCGCCGCCAGCACGGTGCGCTATTGCGAGGAGGCCGAGGTGAAGTGTCCCTACCGAGACACGGACTACACGTGCGACTTCGTGCTCCAGGAGCGGGAAATCAAAGCCGTAAGTTGCACAAATGCCGCGTGACGTGAATTGCGCGACGTCGCCAAATATAACGCGGCTCGACTTTATGTAATAACAGCTCGTATCGGCGGAGGTGTACCAACAGCACTTGGCCAAATCCATTGCTCAAGCGGAGAACAATGCCGGCGACGCGGCCTTTCACTGCAAGACGCCCGACTGTCCGGGCTGGTGCATTTACGACGACAACGTCAACAACTTCCTGTGTCCGGTCTGCCGCGCTAATAATTGCCTCACCTGCCAGGTGAGCACGGCCACTTGCCACCCGCCACTGTAATGGGGGTGTCAACGTTATTATGCACTTCCGCCTTTACCTCTATACCGCACAAAGAGAAGAGTTAGTTGCAGGATGATATTTTATTCATTTTTTTTCCTTTTAAGGCTATTCATTTCGGGAAAAATTGCCGACAATATCAGCAAGAGCTCAAGTATGCGAACATAGGCGATCACGAGTCACGTAGAACTGCGGCTATGCTCGACGAGATGGTCGAGCGAGGCGAAGCCCTACCGTGTCCCACTTGTGCCGTCGTGCTCATGAAAAAATGGGGTTGTGACTGGCTTCGCTGCTCCATGTGCAAGACCGAGATATGCTGGGTCACCAGAGGTCCGAGATGGGGACCCCGAGTAAGTTTGATCGTTACCCTTTTCCAGTTGCTCGGCAGCGGCTGATTACCATTTTTCTTGGTTTCAGGGCAAAGGAGATACCTCGGGTGGCTGTCGATGTGGAGAAAACGGTGTCAAGTGCCATCCGCGTTGTAATTACTGTCACTAGTCTTATAATCGCGATAATACTCGAATGCTTGTACTTGAAGTTAATATTTTAAGCCGTGTAGGAAAATAAAATAATACATTTATAAGGGCCTAATGATCAAGTTTAATTAATAATCTTATTTATAAAACTTCTTATACAAAGTAATTTAGTTGCACAGTTTTACTTAAGCCTTTGCTTTTTAGCCTATAAATGTAATAAAAACGCGTAAGTAATACAAAAATTTGATATTTTGACGTCAAATCGTTTGAACTGAATATTACAGGCACCTTTGATTCATTACAATTTATTGCTATATACTGATATTAAATGATTTTTTTTAAAAGGCCTAAACTTTTTCTCCCTCTTGGTCGTCTCCAGCAGTTGTTTTGGCTGGATCGTCTTCCGTCGTGCCTATTTGTTTTAATCGGGTAACCAAAGTAGACTGATGATGCGTTAGTTGTTGATTCAGATTTCCTCCAGCTGATGTACGCAATACATGAACAAGACCAGCTTGTGCAGAAACGAGATCCAAATTGCCCATTTTCACGAAATCGTTCAGGTGTAACAGCTCACCGTGGAGAATACCAGCTTTATGAAAGTAAAAGTGAATGTTTAATTACTTTATCGAAATTGACTATTTTAATATCGATGATAACTTACCCATTAATATGATACTTGGCGTTTTTTTGCAAATTTTCACTAATTTGTCAACGTTAGGCTCAGGACCGAAGGCAAAAAGATTGACTCTTACGCCTCTGTGCATCAATTTTAAAGCAGCCTCGTAAGGAGTACCTTTCAAAGCTAGTTCTAAAATTCCCTGCTGATAGCCTTTTAAGTACATGTTTGACCTCTTTAGTGCAACCGCAAATTCAAATTGCTCCCTCGCAGAGTGAGAATTCATATGGAAAAAAGCCACCATTTTGGAGCTTTTGAACCAATTCAGACACTCTCTGGCGATGATTGTATCGTAGGGGCGAACTGGTTTAGCCTCCATTACTTTGGGGATTTTCTGACATCGCTCTCGCCAAGGTTTATTTGTATCTGGATTATTAATGAACGGCGTAAGAAACGTCTCAACCATTTGCCTATGACGATGTGGGGCTCGAGGCTTCTGAATGTTTATCTTGCTGCGAAATCTCTGCTGCTGAATTAAAACTGACACTAGATTCGGTTGAAAAGCTGGAAAATCAATGAAATTCATTAGCATTATAATAAACTAAAAGTTCATTCTATTTTTAAAAAATCTCACCTAAAATATTTATAAAAAATTGTTCCAACGTAAGGCCCTCTACGCATCAATGAAACTACTCTCATATATAAAATTTATATTTGGTTATAACATTTACAGTTTGTGTAATTGGGCGGAAATCCTATACAAAACGTAGATGTTAGCTTAAAATTTTAACGCTGATTTGAAAATTTTTCGCTCTAACATAAAATACATAATTTTCACTGCCTCGCCAACTTGCAAAGGCAAGCGTCTACAAGAAAATTTTATCAAAGTGTAATACAAAATTATACGTTTATTTACAAGTATTAATTATTTCTATAGAACATTTTTTTTCGTAGTTTACTTTTTTTTTTGACGATTAAGTAAGGCACTTTGGAACGGTTTTTACAGAACGACTCACAAAGTGATAATGCATTAAACACGCTGGAATCATATTTTTCTAGTATGCGTAAAAAATATTACATAAAAATTCAAACAATAAAATGTTCAATGCAAAATCTATAGTTAAATAAAAAACTTTTTCAGTACACATAAACCTTCAAAAACGGTTATTCGAAATCACGATAGTTAAAAAAAATAAATATATTGATTATTTCTAATTTATTATGCTATATAATTAATCGTCCCGCTGCAATAATTACTAGTCTCGTGTCGATTATCCATGTTATCACCAAAATTCAATGATTTACGATTTTTGCCGAGACGAAGCATAGATCTGATTCCCGTCTTTTTCCTGGAGCGCTTGTAACGATCGTCCAGAGCCGAGTTCAACGATTGCTGCTTGATATCGCTCCGTGCGTTTGAAAAAGGCTGATCATCTTTGTTGCTGCTGTGATTGCTGTTGCTGCTGTTGTTGGATAAATCGGCACGATGGTGGTGATGATGATGGTGGGGGTCGTCGACTAACCAATGTTTACGTGGAGGTAAAGTTTTGCTATTGCCTCCTGGAATGGTGTACACGTAATCGGACTGTAAATGCTTCGAAGTTTCACCAATGCTCATAGACGACTTGCTGCTGTTGGTGGATTCAAAAGTGTCTTTTTTACTGTGATTTTTTGAATCCTCGGACTTACCACTGGTATCCCGAGCTTCGCGAAGTTTTTTGTTCCTCTTGTAAGTGTCCGTGCTTTTGGCATCCAAAGCTGCGTGTCTCTTTTCGGACATGCTCTGTCGACCCAAGGCGTCGCGGGAAAATTTATTCGCTGACGAGTTGAAGGACTCTTCAAGGGACAATTGGCTGTCGTAGGCAGGATCACCGGAATACTGACTGTCTTTTTCATCGATACCTTTTTTCGCCTCAGCATTTGAATTGTGTGAATTTTCATTGGGTTCTTCTTTTAATACTGATTCTAAACGATCTTCTTGATGACCAATACTTCGTTTTTTTGGAATACTGGCTGGTTCCATCCAACTTTTGTTTGTTGCAAGGCAGTAGCTTTCATTTCTTAGACTATTTTTATTATACTGTTCTGTAAGTCTGTCGATGACAGGATTCCATGGAGAATTGGATGATGAAAGTAAACCATTATCTAATAAATGAGTCTGTGAATTTAAATCATTTTTCTGTTGTATATGTCCATCGCTTTGTTTTGAATTTGAGTTTGAGACATAAATGGTATTTGTAAACTCTCCCTTTGATGAAGATGAGGATACTTTTTCAAAACTTTTTTCTGATGAACTTTCGTAAGCTGATACTCTACGAGCGATTACAAGAGTAATAACACCAGTAATAGAACTGTTAGTGTGAAGCAAGGCTCTACGTAATGTTTCCATTGCATCAGAGTTTGAAAGACCTAGTAAAGAAACACCATTGACGTTCAGCAGTTGGTCATTCATTCTTAGTCTACCATCTCTTGATGCAGCACCGCCGGTTAGAACTTTTTTGATAAAAATCCCTAGATCTATATTAGTACTATCTTCACTTGTACTAGTTTTACCTTTCACACTGACTCCTAAACCAGCTTTTTCAGAGTCATGAACTGGAATGTCTAAAGTTAAGACAGATCGCTTCTTTTTCAATGACATTATTAAATCTTCTGATACGTCCATCGTTTTATAATCACGCTTATCATAAGATTCTGGTATTTCTTCTCTCTTTGAAATTGGTACTTCATGAGAAGATTTCAAATTATTATGAACATCAGGTGTTGTAATGGGAACACCAACATTTACATCTGCTACATTATTAGATACTGAACAAGCTTCTTCCTGACGTGACACAATCAATTGTACTTTACCTCCTGGTGGAATGCTTCGAAGCAAGGCAACAACTTCAGCTTGGCTTTTGCCAGTCATTTCTAAATTATTTACTTCTAATAAACGATCTCCTGGTTTTAGTCTGCCGTCTTCAACTGCAGCACCTTTGGGGAGTATATTTTTAATATAAATTGGACAATGGCCACCAGCTGGGTTATCTCTAGTTGTAACACTGAAACCCAAGCCATTATTGCCTTTAGTCAATTCAATCTCAATCATTTTACCAATTTTTCGAGTATTAGCTGTTTGTAATAAATTCTGATTAGTACACTGCAGTCTTTTAAAACTGTCATCGTGATCAACTGCTTTTTCAGTACTGCTAGATGAGTGTGGGACATTTTGTACTTGTTTTTCTTGGATCTTCTTATATTTTACCACAGATATTTTTAAACAAGACTCATTCATACATAATCTAAAGATTTCTTGAACTTTTGTGTATGGCATTCTCAATAAATTATGACCATTTATTTTAAGTATTTTATCATGCAAATCAATTTGTCCATCTCTAGCTATTCTTCCGTTTGGTTCAATTCCTTCCACTCTGAGTCCTTGATCATTTCCAAGCAAATCGTAACAAGGTACAACGTGTAAACCAAGAGGTCCTGGTTCATTTTTAATTACAATTTCTTTAATTTCTCCTTGACCAATAATATCAGATTTCACATTAGGTAAATCATAATAAGCTTTGGCATCTTCACCCAAGGGCTCCTTTCTTCTAGTTTCCCTTGGAAGAGAAAGTGCTGAGTAGGTAGCTAAGTATGGTTCTCTTGAGGAAAGAACATGCATAGATAATCTCTTAGTACTTTCTCTCTTGATATTGCCGGTTGATCTACTCTGGTAAATACGGTGCTCCTTGTTGTCAACATGAAAGAAATCAGGACTATTTGTGCCAACAGAACTGGCTCCATCACCTCCAGCATGTATCACATCTGATCCACTAAAATGAGCTACAATTTGCTCTCTGTCGTCAGCAACATCACACAATCTGTCATCGGGATCCAAAATACCTCCTGTGGTAAGGGAAGACAGACTACTGATGGATAAATTACTGTCACTTTTGCCAGTGGCCTTTTTATATCTGAGAATGGCTTCGTGCATTAGATCTCGCACAAGCAGACTGCCATCTCCGCATGGCACTACAACTCTGATATGGTCAAAACAAACTGTTACCTTCATTTTTAGAGTTTTAAGTTGTCAGCATCACAAAAGATCCAAATATAATTTTTCTTTGATGAGTACGTGTTGAGTATGAGTGTATACAAAAGAGAACAAAGAAAAGTAATATCAACACAAATCACAGACTCAGTATTTGTAACATCAAATGTATGTTTATATAAATCAAATAAACGTATACATAAATGTTAAGGTATACGCAATTTATGGAATGTGTGACGAATATAAAATGACTACCGAGTGCAGCAACAGGTGCACAAGTATATATCTGCGATCTACGCACTCATAAAACACGTTTTCTCTAACTGACTGATGTCATCATCATCATGAGAGCCGTCCTCGCCTCTGCACAGCGATACCTTTCGCGTTATGAGCTGCCGCAGAACTGCAGCAGTCAGCAAACCTTAAGGCGATAATGCACTCGTGACTTGAAAAAGTGTCGATAACTGATCTACTCTCGCTGGCCCGTAGCATAATAAACAGTCTAAGAAAGTTGGAAAATGCTAATTGGATATCACCAAGGCTTCTCTGTACGCGACTGAGCCAATACTCTGGTACGCCTGTGCTTATATGAATGTGCTATATACAATATATGGGATAATGTGTCGAGAAACGATCGAATTTAACGCTAATACACTAAGCACGTAACAAAGCTACGATCTCGCAACGAAGAAAAATCACATACTCGCACAAGGACAAACGCACTACGCCATTATACGCGACGTTCTGTCGACTACATTTGCACACACGAATAGTCTGTCTTTCTCTTCAGCACTGCGCACAGAGCTCACGGGCTCGTACATACTTACATACATACAATACATACAAGCACATACGTATATAGTAACTGCCTGCAGCATACTTTGCGCGTTTTTAATGCATGCAGCTGCTCGGTACACATAGGTGTGTGTATGTAGGTATTATTTATAAAGCTGAGTTTACAACGGTCGCGCAACTCGAGTAACTGCAATGCTCCCCCCGAACCAACTCCACCAAACTTTATTGAACTTGGCAATCCGTGCTACCGTTGACGTTGTTTCATAGTTATTTCATTATTATTCAACTTATTTTTTCGGAATTTAATGAGGCGTAAGTAAAATTAACGCTGACGCAGCATGATTTTTAATTTAATGCCTTTGCGCATGGGTTTTTGCCTACCGAGAGTTATTAACTTTTTATCGTATTTTTATTTACAATTTTGTTACTTGCTCAAGATAAAAAAAATAAACGAGAAATCAATCAGCGATTAATATATTTGATGATGTTGAGTCAATAGAATAAATTTTTCAATTCGATTAAAACCCATTGTAAATTCAGCTTAAAGCATTAGTTTTGCATTAGAATATACGGTTTCGTTGCAATAGAAAAAAGAATCTTTCAGTTTACCAAAGGGGTCAAAAAATTCAGTGATTATAAAAAAATTTGGAACGGAAGTTGGAGTAGTCATTATACAATCAACGTTGTGCGTTAGTACAAGAAAATAATTAAATAAAATATCCATAAAAAAGCTATAGCTGTCATGAAACTATGAAAGAGTAAAAATACGCGCACGCGCTCTACATTAGTTCTAAGAAACTATAAGCAGACTTATTGCAAAGACTAAATTTATTCTATTTCAATTTTTTAAGCAATTTGCAATCACTAAAGTCTACTTCAATCCATACTTTTTCGAGCTTATATAATGTAAAAATGTAATTAAAAAATTAGTGTTGATACTTTTTATCGTAATGAAACTTCAAATTTTCTCGATTCAAATTAATTACTAATTGAATAAAAAAATGTACACTTTATTAAAAATTTCTTTAGAAACGTTCAACAATTATAAGTTATATATTTTAGATAATATAACACAACGACATCGTAACATACAAATGAATGTTGTATCAAAGCCGACAAACTTTAGGTTATGACTCAGTAAGCGAATTGAATTCGCTATTCATTATACCTTACATTTCATCGTATTGTTATGAAAATGTATGGAACACAATTGATACAGCAATGTTTTAATAAACAATGTACACGCTGACAATCAATGCTCAAAAGATCAAAATTCATTCATTAAATGGCCTTACGTTGGAAACAATTTCGTCGTATCGTCTGCAGACGATATTTTTTAGCAAACGAGAACTTCGCTTTATCACTATTAAATTATCAAATAGGACTTACCTTTGTTCGTTAAAAACGACATTTTTAATGCTGAATGTAGAACTCTTGTTCTTTTTATTTATCAATAAGATTTACACGTTTAAAAACAAATTGAACACGTGCGAGTACAGTCCTCCGCTACTTGCCAAGCATCTTGTTTACCAAAAGAGTGGGAGTCGCTACACTCGCGAGAAGTGTCAAATTTTAGAATACAGCCTTTACGCCTTGTCAATGACAAGAATAAGAACACAAACTAATTTTTGCGCATTAAATTATAAAAAATCGAGCAAACTCTTCGCATAAATAGAATGTATCAACATTTTCAAATAATCATCACTAAATAGTCAAGTTAGAACTTGTACTTACACAAATGGTGGAATTAAATTCAAACATTTTTTGCATCGACCTTTTTTGAAATTCTGTAAAAATAAAAAATTCATGATAAATGAGAATTTGCGAAATATTAAGTTGCTTGTCATAATAATTCACTATTAATTATGTTTCAAAAATTATTTTTCCATTGTGTGATAAATCGATATTAAATCATGTTCTACCGTAACAAAAACAATAATCATGTTAAAAATTATAAATAAGTATTTTGTTTAAAACATAACTTTTTTTGTTAAAAAATTTTGAATTTGTTTGCTTTAGCGCTTGAATCGTCATTACACCCGTAAAACCTCATAACGTGTTTATCGTTGAGCAGCTGCACTTGCCACTTTATACTTGGGTCATCCACGCATGCACTCACACGAAAATCGCTGAACTTGTAACAGTCTTCACTCTGCCCTGTACTGTTACTTATTGTCATACAGAACGTATATAATTAATATTATTAAAAGTGCAATTTATTGAAGCATAGAAGTGAAATTTGTTGTTTGGTTCGAGCTCGTTAAATTTCGCAGTTATATTTTTTACACGTTTCACAACGTAACATACACATTTTTACGAAAAAATAGCAAATCAGTGCACAAAATGAAGTGGTTCCAAGGTTCTATAGCTGAAGCAGTTAATGCCTCGAAAGCCAAAAAAGCCGTATTCGTAGTTTTTGTCGAAGGTTAGTATAATTTATTTAGAAATTCATTTGAGGTTATTATATAGAACTCGAGCCGATGTACATTCATACGTTTTATGTTGATGCAGGCAAAGATGACACATCAAAACGAGTAGCTGAGAGCATAGATTCTCCGCAAGTTTCTTCAAAACTCGAATCTGAAGACTTTGTTGCTATCAAGTTGCAAAGTGATACAGAAAATTACACATTTTTTGCTCAAATTTGTAAGATGAATTAATTATGTTAAATTTTATATCTGGTAAGGTGTAGCCTAATGGTAAAATTGAACTTTTAGATCAACTTGTTCCTGTACCATCTATTTTTTTCATTGGTGACAATGGAGCTCCTTTGGAAGTTGTTGGCCATGCCATGTCACCCGATGATTTGGCTGCAAAAATTTCCTCAATTTTGGAAAAAGCAAAACCAGAAATTAGTCAATCATCCGCCAACTTGATTCAAGCTGAACAACTTGTACATTCCTCATTTCGTAGTAATACCTTGCCTGATAGTAGCAAAACATTACCCCAAACAGTTCAGAATCCAAGCCCTTTATCAAGCAGTAGCAACCAAACAGCTGAGCCTTCAACGAGTGTTGAAAATTCAGAAGATATTTCTCAGGAGGTAAGTAATTAAAAATTTATTGTTAGTTTGTTTGTGACAAGCTATGACACTAAGACCCTATTTATATCAGGAAAAAGTTCGACGAGCCAGGCAACTGATTTATTTACAACAAAAACAGAAGGAACAAGAAGAAAAAGAAAAAGAAAAAGAAAGAGAAATGGAAAGAAGGAGAATGGGCAAAGATGTTTTGAAAATGCGGCAAATGCAGCAAGACAAAGAACTAAGAGAAGCACAAGAAGAAAGATTGAAAGAAAAAGCTGCTGATGCAGCTGCAAGAGAAAAAATATTGAAACAAATTGCTGAAGATAAATTAGAACGTAAAAAGAAATATGAAATGCACATAAAGGTAATGAATTTATTTCATTTTTAACATTAACTTTTTGAAATTTGAATACTAATTGATCACCTTTAATGTAGGAAAAAGAAGCTCAGCAAGAAAAAATTGACGAAGAACGACAAGCTAGACTTCAAGCACAGGCACCATCTGTTGATATGTCTAAAGCTAGAATTCAATTCAAGCTTCCTACTGGAAGTAATATAACAGGTACATTTGAAGCCACTGAAACTTTAGGTACTCTTAGAGCATATGTCACTCAAAATGCTCAACTGCCATTCAGACATTTTTCAATGTCATCATTTTTCCCAAGAAGAGACTTTACTTCTGCAGATGATAGTAAGACCCTTTCAGAAATGGAACTGGTTCCATCAGCAACCATTTTAATTTTGCCCTTGAAATCAGTAAGTTCTATAAATTGAAAGGTCTTTTACTTAAATTTATCAAATTTAATTTTTTCTACTAATACTTATTATTTTTCAGAGTAACACTGCATCTGTCATCAAGTCATCAGATGGTGCTGGAATTTTTTCGCATTTTTTCTGGACTCTTGTTGCTCCAGTTATAAGTATTTACAACTATATTTCAAGTTATTTTACTGGTAACAGAGGAGGTGGTAACAATAGTGGAAACAGTGGAAATGCTGCTGCAGGTCCAAGTAGTAGTTCAGGTTTCAGAGGTTTCCCTCCAGCAGCAAGGTATCATTTACTATCTTTATTTTACACTGTCAAGCATATTTAATAAAAAAGTATTAAACACACTTTAATAGAAAATAATAATGTTGTTTATAGAAGGCTAGGAGGAACATCGAAAATTCGCACTCGTGGTAACATTCGCACTCTCCATTCCGGGGATAATGACGATGATGAAAACAACACATGGAATGGCAATTCTACGCAACAGATGTAATTATTTATAGCTAATTAAGTTTAAGTGAAAAATTGAATTTTTACAACAATTTAAACGCAAAAAATTGTAAATAATACATTTGAACTGCACTGTCAAAAAAAGAACCCCATATAATTAAATGTTCTGAAACAAAGTAAATTTTAATCGTTGTAACCATGGTATTTATAAAATTATCGTACTTTTGTTATATTATTTTTGCTTTAGTCAAATTGATACACTGAGTCGCGGAACTCTGAAGTATTGGTGATAGTGACATCGTATTAAAATTAGTTGACATAATTCAAATATTTTGTATTTATTCACGTTGAATCAGAAAGTAAAGATATTAAATATATAAAAAAGTTGATCAGGAATTTCTTTCCACCAAAATACCTCAATTTCAATAAAACTATATTTTAGAGCCTATTATTGCACATAATTTTAACTTTTAATTATATTATATATTTATTATGTGTTTAGTCATTATGTACCACAAGAAAAAATAAATATTATGTGAAAATTATTATTTTGATTTACTTAAATTTACATTTTTCTGGACCAACATGAACATGTATGGTTTTTAGTCCTTATAATTTCGTAATATCATTTGCGTGCTGCATATTTAATTTCATATAATGCATATTTTGTTTCACGTTCCAATTATCATACCATCGTGGTGATAATTCAGGTCAATTAACAAATTTCAATTAAGTCAAAATCACGAATTTACCTTAAATGTGAGCAAAGTGGCACGATGAAAATCATGATAAATTTAACAATGCTTCGATTTATTAATAAAAAGTCGAAAATGCCAAAAATGTCATTCCACGCGCATCTAACGAATTCGACGCGGTAGATGTAACACGGATAGAACATCAAGGCGCGATTATTCAGCGCTGCAGGAAACACAGACGATAGAAATATACCCGTGTAAGCGGCAGGCAGCAGTGGTATAGCAGCGGCACCGCATATATAATACAGCAAAGCAAACTCGCGCCGCTTTAGCAAGTTTAAATGCGCTGCTCGCGTTAAAAGAGCTTATTAATCGCGCATAAAAGCGCTTCGTTTGTACACTGCCGTGTAGCGCGGCCGCGAGTGCCTTACAACATAATAATTATAAACGAAAGCTCAGGCAAAGCACACAGCGAGCTACAAGTAGTCGCGCTCGCTGCCAAGTACCGCCCAGACATCGTTCCCGAGTCGATTGGCTCTCGGCTTCATAACTTCGACTTAAAGACTCCGCCTTGTTTTCCTCTCGCCGATGCGCCAAGGAGGCTCGGGGCCAAAAATCACGCCGATTCTTCCACTGGCACGGGCTAATTAGTTGCACGCGCGATTCTATATGCACACGCATGTGTGCACGGGAGCTTCGAGGCAAAGTGAGATAAGATAATGGAGCAAGACAAACAGACGATTAGTAAGCAAGTGACCATGGGGGCCAGCGAATTGACCAACAAAGTGTCGTTTAGTATCGAGAGGCTGCTTGCACCGAGCGATACCACGAGACAGAGAGAAACATCCTACCACTGCGATGCCGATGACGATGCGCATCGTCGCTTCGCTACTCACAGAATTCTTCGGGACTGCAATGATTGTCCAGAAGGTGAGAAATTGCAAACTTGTTCTTGCTGTCCTCCACATTTTGTGTTTATAAACAATCGAATTCACGCATAGATATGTTAATATTTCTTACTAATAATTTGAATAACTTTAATTTTGCCTATGGATTTCCATAACAAAAATGTACGTACAAATTATTAACTTAAGCTTACTTTACTTCCTTTTACTCTTTTATTGAATGAATGTAACGAAACATTCTATTTAGATTTTTAATTCAATCAAACGAACTTGAAACTAATATTTTGTTTGAAAAACTAAAATCAAGAAATGCATTTTACAAGAGTCCAAATAATCTAGTATAATCAGAGCTTAAATATTTAATTTTTTCAATAAAACAAAATTAATTAAACATTTTGCATCTTTTCCATTAGAAGTAAATAAGTAAACGACAAAAGAACTTTTTTGGGTTTCACAAACTTCTTATAATATGTTTTTGGATTATGAAATAATTAAAACAATTAAAATATTAATAATTTTAAATAATGGATTCAAGAAACATCGAGACCAAAGCAAAAATTTAAATATTCAAACTCGCTCTTTGAAATTTCTTTTCAATGTTTATTAAAAATCGACTCTAATGTAACTGTTTGAATGATGATCGAAACATTTCAAGTAATTTCATGTATGAATACTCGTTCTGTATTTCAGTAAACATAATTGAAAATTTCCTTCTTTATGTAGACTTAATTAATTGTTGTAGATTTAATATTATCTTTAATTATGTCACTAAAAAATTTTTTCTGAATATTATCAATATATTGATACTGAATAAACAACAATATTTTCCCTTTCACCGCAGTCAACAACTCCAGTGAAGAAGATACTCGTCGAACTTCAAACCAGTCGAATTTATCGATGAACGCTGCCGAGGAGAGCGATTTTCACGAGAGCGAGCTAACAATGCCGGGCTGCTGTTCGACGTCACCCGAGCCAGAAATAAATTTCGGTAACCATGGAATTGAATTTTCCAACTTTCGTACGTATATGCAAATTCGTTGATTCTAGATGACGGAACGAAACGAAAAAAAATGCGACTGTCAGGCTTGAATCTCGCAGGGGCGCTACTCGAGTCAAAAGACAAAGAGTTTGATCCATGACTTCCTGCGAGCGCGAATGCATGGTCCACACGCCTACTTGCTGTTCATCCTCCGGTCCACTATTTATCCTCGGCTCGTTCTTTCCGAACAAATTTTCGTTTTATACGGGACAAATAAACGTTCTTTCCTCGGCACTCGGTGCACTGTACTCGTATTTTGCGAGAGATTTAAAGCTATTAAGCAAAAACGAAGTTTCTTCGGGTCTCGAAACTACCAGTTAAAATCCAATGAGTTTGGACGAAAGGTAAAAATCGACGAATTTTACTCTACGTTTCTCTCGCTCTCTCTTCGTGACCAGAAATTAGCGATAAATCCAAGAGGTGTTGCAGCTATTCGCCTCGGCGTATATACGTTCGGGCCGCAAGCGAGCTCGGGATAAAAGCCCCCGTGGCCGTGTGTCAACGCGAGCTTCGTAAATCTCCGCGAAGAAGTGCGAATGAGAATTGCTATACACCGGGCCGGTTAATTACTTTTCGATTTATGGCGCTTGCATTGTCTCGCGATGCTATTTCTATAATAATCTTCGGCTTATTTTCGGTCAATTCTCAACTGTCGCTTTGCTTAGAAAGACGTGCATTGTACCGGGAGGATAAATAAAAATTAGGCTCGACACTTTATCGGACTGTTAGCTGGCGCGCGGCCGCCGCTTGCTCGGCTCATTAATCAACGCGTAATTAAGGAGACACGCGCGCACGACAATTAGGTAAAACTCAACGGGCGTGGAGCGCTGCAGCCGCCGCGTATACCCTGTGCCGTGAACGATACAACCTCAGAAGTCTATTCTTGATTCTCGAGAGTGAGTCTGCTATATAGACCGCAAGCTCGCCGCCGCCGTCGTTTCCCTTTTTCCAAGAGACATGTGCGTAGTGAGCTCGTATGCGTCGATTCAGCCGACTCTTTAGACGACAAATCGAGCAGAGAGCCCTTTTTCGCCGCATTAAATTTTTACCATTTTTTTTTTCACAATCTATTGCATTTTTCGAATTGCACCAAATTTTTGTCTCTCATGCCAATGAACTGGCAGAAAGCTCGTATTAATAGCGGGCGTGATCTCTATAAAGCGATAAATCGTCCGTGCCGCACTGTACGCGATTGGATTTCGATCACACGAAGCGACTTGCGGGGTTACGTTGATTAAGCATATAGTGCCGCGATACATCTCGTGACCAAAAATGTCTCTGCGTCTGTACCTCGACAATCAGTACATTCAGCTGGTGAATGTGTCTTCGCAAGGCAATTTTCACCGACCACAAATAGTTTTTCGGCTTGTTTATCGCGCGATCCACATGAATTTCTTCGCGTACCCATTCAAAATCCCGCTTGGAACAATGAAGCTTGTTTGGCTTTCGGTGTCGCCCTTTTGTGCGCGAATCACAAGTGTAGGCAATTATCAAAAACGAGCGGATCTTCTTTTTTTAGCATCGCCTCCGAAGCAGCAACAGCTCGGGTAATTGCATCTTTTTATAAACACGAAGCGGCAATTAATCCTGAAATACCGAATGGCTCTATAAATGAAATGGGACATCGGGCGATAAATCTCAATACGCGCCCAGGACGCTCGTGTATCCCGCAATTCCGTACGATAGGCGCACACGCGTACGCGCGAGCTACCCCGTATAATTCACTCGAGAAACGAGCCTCGCTACGCGCATAAATGTTAGTCACTTATATATACGCGCGAGAGCCGCGCAACGCGTTAAAAGAAGACGAAAAAGCTCGAGATGGCAAACTTAATTTCCCTACGACATTCATAATACCAGCTTATATATACTACATACACCTCCGAGATACATAAGATGAAGCAATCAAGTAAGCTCTTCGTTAGTTTGGAGTATGACGAATGTATACGCTTAATTAGCGTAATAGATATACGGCTGCGCTGCACTTGTCGGCTCTGCCGCGCTTATAGGTTTGCGGAATAGTCGCGACACGCCTACTATATAAATTTACGATGCGTAAGCGGGCGCGCGCGCTCGCGTGGAGATAAAAATATCATCTCGTCGCGCTAAAGGGTAGTCCCGAGGATTGATGCGCCTAGGAATTGTTGCCTCTCGATTCCCAGCGCCGTTTGTCGATTCAATCTCACGTGGCTCTCTTGCATCGCGTCTATCATCGACGATCACGAGGTTTAATATACGCTTCGCGCGATTTTTCAGAGTTGCGAAATTACGGGGCGAACTCGACGTCGGCCCTGGAATTGAGCGATCGTGACTTGCCGGAAAGGAGCTCGAGTGCCACGAGCGACGACGACAGGAAAAAACGACCACGCACCGCCTTCACGGCGGCCCAAATCAAATCGCTCGAGGCTGAATTCGAGAGGAATAAATATTTGAGCGTCGCCAAGAGACTGCAGCTCAGCAAAGCTCTTAAGCTCACGGAAACTCAGGTATGACCATCGAGAAGTAAACATTTTTTTCAGCTTTCGTGAGTTTCTCATGGATATATGGTAGAATCGAACGAGGTGCTTTTTTAAACTGTTTTTATATAAGAGAGAGATCTCGCGGTTGATCTTGTGTGCTCCTGTCAAAACACACTTCGCAACATACAAACAACATCCTAGTATCGTATATAAAGATGCAGCAAAAAAGCCGTGTTTTGAAACGAGAACGATCGTTCCATTAGCAAAAGTGCTGATGTGCATGTGTAAAAGAGCCGCGGAGATGATAATCTCTGGCGCCTCTCGGGCAATAAATGATAGGTAATGTCGCGTGGCTTCCTCGAGTGAAAAGATCGCGCGCGACTCGATACCTGACGCGAGCGATTTATTTAAGATATACAGGCACTTTTGGGCGTATTTATGCACGCGCGAGTTGGTGGTGAGCCGCGGCGCGGAGCACATGCCGACTTCGGCAGCGAGGAAGGAAGGCGGCCTGTGCAGCGCAATCCGCAACTCACAACTAAACGTGCAGCGACGGGCCGCACCACATGTGTGTTTTTTGAGCGGCGCCACGGAACAGCGGCGCCGCTTATAATGTGCGCGTCGCCTATGTCATGTGCTGTATGCAACTTTTGTAAAAGGCCAATTAGCACCTCTTGCTTTTTCGTATATTTTTAATTTTTCGATGATGTATGTCGTGAGAGTGACATTGGGAGCGCTTGAAGTGCACCGGCGTATAATTGTGAGCCGTTTCAAACGCATGATGAACATAAAACGTTTTGATTTATATTTATTTTTAATTATTAATTCTTTATCCAGCGATATAAAAAAACTTTATAATTCAAAAAAATAGTTAATCAATTAATAAATTGCTCTGTTAAATAACAAGAAAATTGCAATCGTAGAGTTTATAGTGTCAATAAATGAATGAGTAACGAAAATCAAAAATGAAACTTTCAAAGCTCGAGAGCTCATCGTTATAAAAATCAAAGGCTTTGAGTTAATTGTTAGAAGCAAAAATCGTTGAGAGAAGAAGTTACAGATCACAGAAACTGAATAAGTTTATGGGTATATACTTCTCTATATATACTTGCTCATAAACGTCTAAAAAGCTGCACATACATTAGTACACATTTTCGCAGGAGAAGTTAACGAGGCGCGCGATGCGACGGAGCGTAAAGGCGTCGATTTTTTAATTAAAATATATTACTCTTTTAGCTTCCTTCTTCTGAGATGCATCTTTCTTTTTCATTTCTTTCCCTCGCCATCGTGCTAAATTCATGCCGAATGTGCCACCCTATTGGCGCACCGACCCGATCCGGCGCTTGCTGAGCCGAAAAGATGCGTAAATTGTCGCACGCCACACGAGGCAGATTTCTGTTCAAGTCCGCGTGTGAGATTCTTTAATAATTACTCAAAAACTGATTAAACAAGCTTATAGGCAGCTTCAAAGTTTTTAAAATTACATTCACGATAGTCATAGAATTTTTTACATAAATCTAATATGAAGAAAAGTAATTAATTTTTTTTAATATTATATAAACATTGGGATTTTAAAAACATCTAAAAAATTATGAATCAATAATAGTATGTAATATCGATTTGCTATTCAGGGTCAAAAAATGGTTTAAATCATAGTTTTAAATCTTTTAAAATTTTTCATTAACTTTATCTGCATTTAGTATGACCATACTAAACGTGTAGTATTTGAAAATGATTGCCCCTAAATTGTAGGCTCTTTTAGGTTCTAGTTCATCTAGCCAAAGAAAAACTTACATTTGAGAGAACACAATGTATTAGATAAAACCCAGCAAAGCACAGAAAGTGATTTTCTTTTAATTTCATTTATTAGGAGAACAAGACATCAATAGAGCCCACATTTTCGAGTTGGTGACTGATGCTCTAGCAGCATACTAGACATATTTATAGATATATGAGAGAAAGTGAAAGTTTGAATTTCATAAGAGGCGTATCAAATGATGTTTTTATTCTATTGGTGTTTTTTGTAACTTAGAGTGGTTTCTTAATTTTTATGTACTTCTGTCTTTCGTGTTTATAATCATGCAATAATGATCACTGATCAAAAATACGTCAGCTGTCAACGACGTTTTAAATTTCAATGGTGGAAAATAGAAATTAATTAGAAAAAAATAGATATTGCGGTTTTCGAAGGCTTTTTGGATCAGGAATATATAAGTTTCTAGAAGATAAAGTAGAAATAATAAATTTGACAGTCGAGTCAGAAACTAAATAAGTAGACGGTGCTTTTCACAGACTAAGATATTCGATTGCTCCAGATTTTTCCATTTCTCTTAAATAAAATTTTTTAAGAAATTAATAATAAATTAAAAATCATAAACAGTTTATAAGTATAATGTGCCTATGTTTATGCTAAAAATTTATATAATTTGAGTCAATGTATAGCAGCTGTAGTGCAAAAGTGCAAAAAAGACAGAAGACTTGCGCGACAACTGTTGAACGCAAATATCACCGAGAAGTAGTAAAGGCACGTCTGTTTTCAAGTCCACAAGAGTGGGGATTAAAAGATTCGCAGCGACTAATAGACAAGCCTAATTCAACGTCATTTCTTTGCTAACAACGTAAAAATCATAATGTAGAATTTTTTACATAAAAATTGTATTTTCGGACATGTTTAATTTGCAAAATATTATTATTTTTATTTTTACTTCAGTTCAGAGAAAATGCTTCCAATTATAACGAACATATGGCGGAAGGTTTAACCAATAATTGGGTGTCGGAAAAACGGATTTAAAGCGTTAATGTTGTCCAAATAATTTGTGAAAAATCTTGCAAAAAAGGACTGATATAAGACATCGCTTGTCAGTTGGGTTCAACTGCAAGCAAGAATTTAATAAGGGGCTCAGGCTTCAGAGGATTTTTATTCTCTTCAAAGTTACAAAAAGCACCAATAGAATTCGAAAAGTCATTAGATCCGCCTTTCACGAATGACAAACTTTCACTTTTTCTAATGTATCTATAAGTAGGTACGTCCAGTGTACGTGCAGTCGTAAGAGCATCAGCTTTTAACTCAAAATTGTGGGCTCTTTTGGTTTCTTATTCCCCTGATATATGAAAATGAAAGAAAATCATGTTTTCATGTTCTTGTTGGATATTATTCACTCCTTGCCGCATGTGTTCTTTCAAATACAAGTTTTTCTATGACTAGGAGAACCAGAACCTTAAAGAGCTTTCAATATTAGTAAATCAATGATCTTCGTGGTATTTTATGCATGTTTTAATGCAATTTCGCAAAAAATGTGTATTTCAACAAAAGATATTCAGATAATGCAAAGTCTTTGATAAACTGCTGCGAAAATCAAGATCAATGAACAAATAATGTTTATAATGTTAAATTAATTCTGAATTTGTAAATCTAAGTCTAGCATTATTGGCTGCAAATTATGGAGTGTCAATGATCACGTCCTGGGGTGTGGATCGGCCAGGGATAGGATCAGTACATTTTGGAATGAATATTGCAATTTGTTATAAATCTATCATGCATTGTATAAGGATCTATTTACTCAATCTAATAAAGCGTTTTGTAGAAGGCAAAAAAATTCCTCAAAAATCGTGGCCAAGTTAGAGTTTTAAGGTGGCTAGTCAGTAAAATGGGTCGACAACAGATGTTTATGAAACTTTGCAGAAATGTCATTTAAAGTGCCCTTGATATGCTGTAAAAATTTCAGCATGGGTTATCGAACTAATTTTTGAGAACGAAGCCGTTGAAAATAGGAAATTTAACATGGGCTCTTATGGGAGGCCATCCTAATTTCATACATTTTACGCCATAACTTTTTCATTAAACAACAGATCTTAACCAAAAACGAGTATATGTTATACTCCAAATCACTACCTTTCGATTAGTATGTTAAAAATTACGCCTTATCGAACTAACTAATGAGTAATTAAACAAAATGTGCGTAAAATCATTGATTTTGAATAGTGCGAGCGGTTGCCTGCCTAATGCGAGAAAGAGACAGACATACGCCTCGCTGTACTATTGTTATGATTACTGACTAGCCACTTTAAATTGGTTCAAATTTAGAAGCATAGTGTATGAATAGATAAATCAGTAATTTAATTGTAAACAAGAAGATCCTAAACGATTTTGACATCGCCTCTCGAACACTGTTTATAGTGAAAATAAATTAGTTTGAACGTTGTCTTTCGTAATGGAACAAACGACAATTCCAAATGACAAATTTTACTCATTCGAGAAGAAATCCGAAGAAGTCGTCTCAAAGGATAATTTAAGTGAACACGACATTGCTGTTTCAGACGATAAACAACACATTCATGATATTTGTCAGGAAGTATTTACAATAGAATCAAGCATGATAACCCATCAAGACACAACTCACAATGATCAGAAAAATTACGCGTGTGACAAATGCGAAAAAAAATTTGAGTTCCGAAGTCATTTGAGTAGACACCAAGTATCGGTGCACAATGTCCGCAAAGATTTTGCATGCGACAAATGTGAAAAAAAATTTGTGAAAAAATCAAGTTTGCTTACACACCAAAAGTTAGTTCATAAAGATTGCGAAAATTCCTCATGCAACAAATGCGAGAGAAAATTTGAAAATAAAGCAAATTTAATAAAACACAAAAAAATATTCCATGAAGTTTTCAAAGATTACTTATGTGAAAGGTGCGCAAAGAGATTTGCAAATAAACATAGATTGCTGCTGCACATAAAAAAAGTCCATAGCAGTGGTATAGATTTTGCATGCGAAAAGTTCGAGATAAAATTTGGATTAAAATCGACCTTGCTCAGACACCAAAAGACATTTCATGAGGGTCGGAAAGATTTCGCATGTAACGAGTGTGAAAAAGTGTACACAAAAAAATCATATTTACTCAACCACCAAAAGATAGTACACGAAGGTCGTAAGGATTACCCATGCGACAATTGCGAAAAGAAATTTGGACAAAAAGTAGATTTGTTTCGGCACCAAAAGACAGTACACGAAGGTCGTAGAGATTTCGCATGCAATAAGTGTGAGAAAAAATTTGTGGAGCAAAGCAATTTACTCAACCACCAAAAGACAGTACACGAAGGTCGTAAGGATTACCCATGCGGCAATTGCGAGAAGAAATTTGGACAAAAAATAGATTTGTTTCGGCACCAAAAGACAGTACACGAAGGTCGTAGAGATTTCGCATGCAATAAGTGTGAGAAAAAATTTGGGGAGCAAAGCAATTTACTCAATCACCAAAAGACAGTACACGAAGGTCGTAAGGATTACCCATGCGGCAATTGCGAGAAGAAATTTGGACAAAAAATAGATTTGTTTCGGCACCAAAAAACAGTCCACGAAGGTCGCAAAGATTACGCATGTAGCAAGTGCGACAAAAAATTTGGAAAGGAAAGTAATTTAAGAAGACACCAAAAGACAGTTCACGAGGGTCGCAAAGATTTTGTATGCGATAGGTGCGAGAAAAAATTTGGAGTTGAATATAATTTACTTTTGCATCAAAAAATAGTCCATGAAGGTCGCAAAGATTATCCATGTGACAATTGTGAAAAGAAATTCGGACTAAAATCAGATTTGCTCAGACACCAAGAGAGAGTCCACAGAGGTCGCCAAGATTACCCATGTGACCATTGTGGGAAGAAATTTGGACAAAAGTCGGACTTGTTTAGGCATCAAAGGACAATACATGAAGGTTTCAAAGATTACGCATGTGAAAAATGCGATAAGAAATTTGGACAAAAATCAAGTTTGATCAAACACCAAAAAAGAATACATGAAAGTCGCAAGAATGACGTATGCGACGAGTGTAAAAAAAAAGTCGGATATAAATGTAATTTACACATTCACCAAAAGACGATATACCAAACTTGTTAAGATTTTCCTTGTGAAAAGTGCGAGAAAAAATTTGGACGAAAATCGAGCTTCTTTATGCACTAAATGACAGTACATGAAGGTCGAAGAGATTTCGAATGCGATAAAAGCGAGAAGGAATTGGGATATAAATTAGATGCGTTGAAGCACTGAAAAAACGCACACGAAAGTCACAAATACTTCGCATGCTACAATTGCAAGGAAAAATTCGAGATTCAAAGAAATTTTACAAGACACCAAAATACAGTCCAAGAAGATCATTATCCGACAATACTTGAAGTTCGTTAAGATTACGTATGATTTCATAAGAGTAAAGTTTTGTTACATACGAATATACGAAAAGATGTACTAAAGTTAGAATCAATTTGACCCGATTATAAACGAGTTTGTTCTCGAAATATTTTATTGGAACCAATTTTATTTGACATAATAAGATGACCTGACTGTACAATAATCATGATTATCATGATAATACTATAACACAATGATTAGTTTTATCCATTAACTCTTTAAAATCCTTTTTTTTCTCATAATCGTGAAATTGTATCCAATCTTTCGTCGAATGATGATCAAATTTTTATGAATAAATTATTGCCTAATAATAATCTAATAATTTCTCGTATTCTATTCAAACTCTCGATGTAAGAATTTAGAATTAGTTTAACATTTTAAATATTATTCAATGCACACAATTAACTTTGTGACCTTGAAATATTATTCGTTTATTGAACGAAATATTATTCACATTTTTTTCGTAATTGCATTAAAACATGCATAAAATACCACGGCGATCATAGATTTACTAGTATTGTAAGGTTCTGGTTCTCCAAGCCATAAAAAAACTTTTACTTGAAAGAACACATGCTGCAAGGAGTGAATAATATCCAACAAGAACATGAAAACATGATTTTCTTTCATTTTCATATATCAGGGAAATAAGAAACCAAAAGAGCCCACAATTTTGAGTTGGAGACTAATGCTTTCACGAATGCGCGTACATTGGGCGTACCTACTTATAGATACATTAGAAAAAGTGAAAGTTTGTCATTCGTGAAAGGCGGATCTAATGACTTTTCGAATTCTATTGGTGCTCTTTGTGACTTCCAATAACTTCTTAATTTTTATGTACTTTCGTTTTTTATACTTATATTTATTATGCACTTACGGATTAATGGTCAAAAATACGTCAACTGTCAACCACGTTTTAAATCTCAACGGTTGTATAGAAATTAATTAGAAAAAAATAGATATTGCGGTTTTTCAAGGCCCTCTGGATCAGGAACATATAAGTTTGTAGAAGCCAAAGTAGAAATAAGAAATTTGACAGTTGAGTCAGTAACTACATAAGTAGTAGGAGTCTCACCAGAATTCTTTATAAATACAATTTCCTATTCTGAGGAGACGATAAAAAATATTTACCGACCAAAATATCGTTTACTTTCTTTTAGATTAAGAATTGGCCGGTCATATGACTCTTTTACGTACTCGCTATTAATTATAAAGGAGTACAAAATCGTTAATAGTTGGGAAATATAACGGGCCGTATGTAAGTCAGGGTACAGTAGCCGGAGAGCAAAAATGCCAAAAAGAGAGCATATTTTTTACATCAAGCGAGAGCAAATATCAGCGCAAATAAGTAAAGGCACTCGTGTTTAGACCCCAAGACAATAATCCCAAGAGTAGATAATAGGTTTTTGACGGTTGTCAAGTAAAATATGAAAATTTTTTCAATTTCTAAAATGATGTTGATTCGAAGATATGATTCTGTAATCTTACATTTTCGTTTGAAAACGTCCACTTTTGCCCGTGTGAATGATTGAAATGTTTGAAAAAGGAGCTGCCTTGCTTAATCATCCCAGCTTTACCACATTGGGGAGTATAAAATACCTCTGTGACTCTGTGGAATTAATGTTAATTTACATAAGAACTATAGAACAGTACGGTACAGCTGATTCGCCTGCTTTATTCTTCTAGTTGGTATTGGGATCGTTTACTTCCCAATTGCAGTTAATTCATTTTAAGTTAGGTATTAGAATACATTCTTGCTTTAGTTTCTGTACTCGATTGTTATACCTTCGGGGCTATTAATATTTACATTTTCAAACCCTGCACTCTAAAGCTGTTAATTCAAATTTTCCAACAAGTTTGCCCTGATATTTGAACAATTTGGAGAGTATTTCAATAAAAAAATTTTCATTTTCAACCTTTTCCCTTTTAAAATGTTTTACTCTTGAAAACCGAGTTTGAGTTGAATATGTTTAAATGTCCAGACTGTGCTGTTTGTCGGCTTATTCTAGTGGACTGAAGCTTAACAAAATTATAGAGCAAGCACAAAATGCCACAAAGTCATTCGCGCAAATGGTATTATTCAATCGTTATTTTAATTAATTAAAACTTATAATATAAGAGCGCGTCCAGCATAAGTCGGCCACCCCGCGCGATTACGGCATTTTTGGCCGAAAGTGTCGTATGTTTAGCTCGCTCGGAAACGTTTACCAAGGGTCAGAAAAAAAATCCAAACCCATGGATCGATAGATTTTTTTCTCCTCTTTCTAGTGGTGTAACTCAAAAAATTCTTAAAAATTGATTTTGAGGTTAACACTCGACTTGAATGCGAGCTAAACATACGACACTTTCGGCCAAAAATGCCGTAATCACGCGGGGTGGGCCGACTTACGCTGGACGCGCTCATAAACGAAAAATTTGTATCGGAATGGCAAAAATAATGTGCCCCGGGTGAGGATCGAACTCACGACCTTAAGATTATGAGACTTACGCGCTGCCTACTGCGCTACCGAGGCCGGTAGGTGCTAGACAATGTTGCCTATTCAAAAATTAGATATCCTAGACAAAAATAGAACAAGGTCTCATGCAATATAAAAATATCAAACTTCCAAAACTAATTAGTATGTAAAAAGTCTTTAATCAAGTATATGATTTAATAAAAAATGCAAATCAAATCATTTAATTTTCAGATAAAAATATGGTTTCAAAATAGACGGACTAAGTGGAAACGAAAATATACCAACGACGTCGAATTATTGGCTCAACAATATTATTCCAGCTTAGGAATTCATGCACCAAGACCGATGTTCGTAGGCGATCGATTGTGGTAACTAATTCTTCTCTTCAGTCTTTTTAATAATTTACGAATATTAAAGTAAAAAAAATTTTCATTTTTTATGTTACATCATAGTTTCAAAAATTAAAAATTAGAAATTAAAAATCTAAAATAATAATCCTTTCAATTATTATAGGTTTTTTAATTATCCAAACCATGTTCAACCGAGTACATCTATTTTACCGTCGCATTTTTCTACTATTGCCTCATCAGCGAATGTACCTTCTACCTTACCGGTAATTCAGCCTTTACCAAGCAACTTATCTAATGGGCCACATGTATTTCAAAACAATTCCACGAGCCAAGCAGCTTATAATATAACAAGAAGATTAGATTACAGGCACCAACATTGAATATGAGCATTAATTATTTTAATAAAAATCTATTATGTGAAGTAAAATTTGTTAAATAGTATACAATATTGATTAACTGCAAAGGCCAGATAAATCATGCACAAACTGTGATATTTTTTAATGAAAGTCTTATTGTATGTTCAATTTGAATTTGTAAACACCTAATAACAAATATCATTATCTAACATTCGTCAACTTAAAACATGATTGATTTTTCATGTACTTTTTATTGACCAATATAATTTTTTTATTAATTACATATACTTTGGTCAAAAATTTGATCTAGAATTTTATCATTACTACACTCACTTTGTGAGTGTGTAAGTTTAGCATATGTTTTATTATTAGAAATGTCGTCCTCATCTATCATTTCTTCCATGCGTTGTTTATATCTAAAAAATTTTCAAATAATAAAGTCAGTATTTATAAGTATTGTTTTAAGAATAATATAAATATAAATTTTCAATAATAAATTCAAACATACATATCACTGTCAGGGTCATTCTCTGGATTTTTGCATTTTTCCAATTTCTTTTCCAATAATTTCATAGTTTCAACTGATATAGTTGCTGGTATACCTTTTACCATCATTCGAATTTCTGAAATAAATAATAGCATTTTATCTCAGAATTACATATCTACTAATACAGTAGCTACTCAATAAGAACAAATTTTCAATGAAAAGTACCTTTAACAGCTGCAACAATGTTTTTCAATTGTTCTCTGGATAGAAGTAAGTCTGTCACATAAGAATCTAAATTGGCTTTTGTCGATGATGCAGCATGTAAGATTGCGGCTAATGCAATTTGGCTAGGAGCATAGATTAAAACTGCGTCAGTGGAAAATACTTTTTCAAGGAACTCATCTATGAGTGGCCTTAAATCATCTGGATTTTCCAAAGAAGGAAATCTTGTCTAGAAATAAAATTTGAAATATATTGACTAAACAAAATATGTTTCAAATCATTTGAATGATTTGAAGCAAACTCACCCTAATATCTATGAGAAATCCTTCCACAGGTCTAAACGGGTTGTGAATAGTTAAATGATAATCTAATTGTTGCATCAACAAAAGTTCATTGTTTATAATTATGTTGCAACACTTTTCTTTATCTCCATTTACATTGGCGACAAATTGTACAATTGAAACATTAAATTCTTCTACCTGAAATATAACCAAAGTTAGGTATGTGAAGTGGAAAAAATTGAATAATAAATTAGTGGAAAACTTTACCTTACACGCTAAGTAAATACAGGTAACCATTATATATTTAGGATGATAATCCATTACACTGTTTCGCAGGTAAAATCTTTTAAAATAGTGTAACGATGTGGCTGCTGTAGCTTTTGGCATAGGTGGATTGAAGTTTTTGCAAAATTTTTTCATAGATATTTCCCAATACCTGAGTAAACTTTCCTCCTCCTGACATGATAAGAAATGATTTTCTCTCTTCTCTTTCTGAAATAAAAATCACATTATTTGAAAATTTTCTAACCTCATTTTTAATACAAGCGTTCATGATTTAGTAATTAATTTAATTAATTGGATCAATTGTCTTGAAAACAATCTGCAGATTACTACTGACGTAACATTGTTAGTAACTTACTGTCATGTGAGATCCATGTTTAACAATATAAGCGGCATTCGCCTGTTCACGCAGTTGAGCAATTTCTTTTTCATCGGTGAACAACCAATGCTTTTTTTGAGAACTCACAGGAAACATATTTGAACCACGGAAAGATTAATTGTCCTTTTTTAAATTTACTAAAAGGTATAAGTTTGTTTACACTTTGACGAGTGCTGACGACGCGGTATACAGAGAATGTAGCATACACTAATGCGATATTGTATCGGATTCATTGACCGGTGCGATGAGTCGAAAATCTCGATTAATCGATACTCGAAATTTTACTACCCAAAATTTGGTTACTAAAAATTGCTATAAACGATAATTTTTCATACGAAGGTCACTATAGATTAAAAATGTGATTTTCCGGCTTCTTTTGCGATTTTCAACAACTCTTTTTCTTTTTCATCTTTTAGTATCGAACATTTTAACCGTTAACCGTTTTAATTTCGGGTAAATCTTGTGTGAAAAAAATTATTAATATTAGTTTTTCAAGACTTTTATTGGTATTATTACTATGGTGACAAATTGTCAAGTCGCTTTACATCAAAAAAAATACTAAATTCAATTTGTAGGTTTTTTATTGGCATAATTTTACATTAAGTTGCCAGAACACATTTCTGAAAAAATACTAAAACATTAAACAAGTACGAGCGCCATCTAGTGAATATTAAAACTACAAACTTTGAGTCAGCTAAATAATTGAATCAAACTTCAATTATTTAGCTGACTCCTTTACCGAATTTACCATATTTTTCACAATTCTCTTTTAGTAAATAACTTTAAAAAATGAATAAGATAATAAAATTATCAAAATAATGATAATATAAGTATTCAGGTTGTAACTCCAATTGATATTTAGCTCATGATTGCACTTGGATAACAATTAATCTAAAGGAATCTCGCAGTATGTATAAATTGTCCTTCAAGAATTTTATCAAATTCATTGACATAAATTTTCTTCCATACAATGTAACTCAAGGGATGTTATTTTCATTAAAAAAGATACAAAATATTTTCAGATTTATTAATTGACTAATTATTTTCTAAAACATTGATATACATATGAAGATAATAAATATACAGAAGATTTTATTCTAAAAAAACTATTTTTTCAATTGTAAGTACTCAAGGGCCATCTACATTATTTGCAATGAATCGACATAGCGCAATGATTTTGTACCCATTTTATTGACAATTTTTTTTTAAATTTTATGAATCCTATTAACAAAATTTACGGCTAAGTTACGGCTGGGACAAAATAATTCGATAATTATCAGCACTATCTACACTATTCTGTGGGTACGGACGGCCCATAGCATTTCTCATCTTGTATTATTTCTTTATCGTTACAAGAACATTGTTTCGTCAGGCCGTCATTGCTGGGCAAGGCAAAACAATAAACCTGGCAACCTCCGTTATCGACCGCGCAAGGATGATCTTTCTCGATCGTTCGGGGCGAGAAAATTTTGAAGTCGTGGATCGTCGCAATTTTCTCACTTTGTGCCCTCGTTGGTGCCAATTGCTCCATCGAATCGCCAGTTCTTTTGTCCATTCTCAATATACTCGAGGCATTGGCAACGTATACAAAATTTTTATGAATTTCTATCGATAGCGGATCTATAATGTGTGTAATGTTAATCGATTGAATATCGGCAAAATCCAATGTCGAGTGGTAGATTTTCTTTTCATCATTGCTGATCCAGTATAGTCTATCTAACTCATAATCAATGGCCAATGTTTTTGTAGCTACAGTAGCATCTCCTGAGAAGTGCATAAGTTCGGAACCATCGGAATGGATTCTTCCAATTTGAGTTGAAAAATTTTTGTTATTCGATTCGATGAAAAAGACATATCCACGATTTGGATGGGCAACAATTTCCATGGGCATGATGGATATATCAAATTCCATCAATACTCTGTGACCCGTTGAGTCGTAAGTGGCATCGATTCTACGAACCTTAATGAAATTTTTCAAACTCTCATCATCCGTGCTGATGTAGTAATAAATATTCGATATCCAATCGACCGCGATGTGTCGTGACGGCCGGTCTGCAGCATCTAGAACGAGTGGCTCCTCGTGAGTCCGATTCAATTTGATCTCATAAATCTTGGAGCTGTCACTGATTATCATTGAATTACGACGCGTATCTAGATCGAAATTAATGGACAAATTCAATGTTTTATCGATATTGAATTTGAATGGCAGCATTGCCTCCGCGAACGAGCGCTGATTTGAGCTCAATATTTTTCCCGAGACAACGTCGTTGTGCAAGTAAATGAGGTACTCGTCGACGCGCTCGCAGCTTTTCTCGTCGTCCTTCAATCGCCAGCCGGTGTTGCACATGCAACTTTGAGCGCCGTTCGTGGCGACGATACACATGTGCTCGCACTCGTGCAGCAGACAGCCGTTCGGCAATTCCAACTTGGAAAAATCGTAGGCCTTCAGGGCTATTATCGAGGTGTTTGCGGACGTCGGCTTAAATTTGTCGCAAGCTCCAATGTGCATTATGCACGTCCAATACACCGATTCGTTGTCACGAGCCCAAAATAACTTGTTATCGTAGGCTGTCAGGCTCACGATAGGATTTGTTTCATTTTCGAACTTGGTGACTATTCTGTTGTAATGGCCATTGAAATCAATACTCTCGATATCTCCGTTAACGAAGAAGTATAATCGTTTGCTCTTGCGCTCGATCGACAGAGCTGAAATTTCCTGATCGTTCGAGTAGATTATTTTCGGGTATCTTCCGTCCATTGTAGCTCGTAAAATCTGGAACGATTGAGGAAAAACAAAATGACTCGATTTATTCGAAACACGATAAAGAGCATTACAATCAATACGTTACCGAATTCTCTTTTAAAATAAACAATAAACCCACTGACGGATCTAAAACAATACTTTTGGCGCTGTCCAAATCGCTCCATAATACAGTAGAGTTTTTGCTCTCAACGTCAAAAATGATCAACTCATTGACGTAATCATCGAGGACGTACAATTTTCCATTTAAATCATCGATTGCAAAACTTGTCACGTTCCATTTTCCTGGGTGCGTCGGTTCGATGAACTTTTTTGACAATGATGTTATGGGGTTTTCCGAGTCGCGACCACCAAAGTAGATCGTCTTGTCTCGATAAAACTCAAAAACATGAGCAGCCTCTTTACTGCTGTTTACGAAAGTGTAAGTTGAATTTTCATCGAGTATGTCAATGGCCCACAGCGACGTGTAGTTCAACTGAATAATTAACGCATTTGTGTATGGCACGATGACTTCTGGTAAGGTTTCGTTCACGACGACTTTATGTGAATTTTTCTGGCCTAAGAGTAAAATTCGATTGGTAGATATTGAAAATGCCCATTGCAACTACTTCCAAATTCACTTACTTAACAATTGCAATCCTATGCCACCTCCAATTGTCAACGCAGTGAAAAACAAACCGGCAAACAACACTTTCCAGAAGGCATCTCGAGTTTTATCTTGATAAACCGTGCGTAAATTTTTGAAATCAAAGTTGTACATGATGAAAAACGATTTAATTTTTTCTTAAATTTTTCAAGAAAAAAAAAATACAACGACACAATCAATAAAATAGTCACATAGTATACACAAGCTGATGTCCACGCGAGAAACCGAACAATACTGATTTTTAGAATTTTGATCTCCGATACTGATACTCATTATCGAAAATCACAGTGATAAAACTCTATCTAAATAACACCAACATAAATTATCCAGCACCTATATAAAAGTCAAATGTCATTTGGGTTCTCCGCACAACTTTCGTCATCGGGGCCTCGACATTTTATAACCCTTGCAATTGAGTCATTGTTGTTATGATTATTTGTTTGTGACATTCTCTAATATTTGCTGCTTTTTGCTGAAGATTTTTGCACTGTGAATACCCACATCATTTATCAACTGTACGTGTTTATCGCTTTCGTTTTTATTAACTCGCCATATGCCGATTGAATCAGTAACATAAACCCAATTTTCGTAAACATTTACGGATGTGGGGTTGTTTAAAAATTGTACGTTCGAAGAAATTAAATCCGTTCCATCTAAATTAGTGTGATGTAAAGTCGTGTTATCGGCGCTAAACCAATACAATCGATCCTCTCTGTAATCAATGGCTAGCAAATTTTCGTTAATATTATCGGAAAAATTATCTACGAAAAATGATCTCGCCTCAGTCCCATCTACCCGCATTTGACTGATTCGCGATTGCCTCGACGTAATTTCGAATATCGTGAAAAAAATCAAACCTCGCACGGGATGGACCGTCAACGACCTGACGCGCTCGAAAGGATCGAAGTCTTTGTAGAGCACGACGCTGCTGTCCGTCTCGCTGAAGTCGTCGATGCCACGGCTCACGATTCGCTGGCAGCCACCGAATACGTCGTCTCTAACGTAGATTATTTTACCCGACAGCCAGTCCAGAGCGAGCACGCCGTCACTCGAAAGATTCTCGAGAAAGAATTTTTCGCTGCCGCTGGTCAGATCGAGTTTTCTCAGTGTCAGCGAATCGGCAAAGACGACGACATTCTTACGGGCATCGTAGTCGAAAGTCGTTAGAGCCCCGTCGGCGATCGAGTTGAGTTTAATCGGTTCGAAAGCCTTTTTAAATTGATTCATCGTCGAGTTCAAAATGATGCCGCGAAAGTAATTATCCTGTCTGTAAATGAGATACTCGTGGATTTTCTCGCAGCTAATCTCGTCGCTCGCGAGCCGCCAGCCGAGCTTGCAGGCGCACGTGTAGTTCTGGTTGGCGTTCAGAAGGCACATTTGCTCGCACGAGCCGTAGTGGCACGGATTATCGACCAGCCAGTCGGCAAAGTTGTAAGCTTTCATTTGTACAATGTGCCCGGGTAAATGAGTATCCGTGATGTCGCTGCAGACGCCATTGCTCACCGAGCACGATGACATCGCAGTGCTGGCACCTCCGTCGGTCGTAAAAAATAGTTTCCCGGCCGAAAATACCAAATTCGTGACGTGATTTCTGGTGGTAGCGACCAATCGTTTGTTCTTTCCTGAATAATCGACTGACCATATGAAGAGACGATCAGCGAAGTAGAGACTTTTTTCTTTTCTGTTTAAAGCGAACGCCGATACCGAGCAGTTTTGTACGATATCACTGAACCATGATCCATCCATGTTTCCTTTGATTATCTGAAATTTTCAATACAGAGTTAATATATTGTAGGCCTTGTCTACCAATTAATTTGAATTTAATATTTACAGTTTGTGGCGTGGAAATGAAGACAAGACCTTGCAGAGAGTCCAATACGATCTTCTGCAAGTCACTGATGCCCAAATGCACAACATTGTAATATTTATTGCCTATATCGACTATATACAAGTTTTCACCGCTTCTATCGGTTATGTACAATTTTCGACTGGATTTATCAGCCACGATGGCGTCGGCATTCCAATTGAAATGGTATTTTTCATTGATCCCCTTACAGGTCTCCGAACAAGTTTGAATGGATTTGTTTGTGTTTATGAATAGTCGATGTCCAGAATAAAAATCAAAGTCTATCATGTCGTCGGTTTCGAAAACGTATGAATAGTTACCGGTAGCGACATCCAAAGCCAAGAGCGACGAGTTGTTCAATTGAATCACTAGTCCGTTTGAGAATTTCAATGATATATCGGTGACATTGGCACGCTTGTCTGAACGGAACAATTACTTTTACTCGAGATGTACATTTTTAATTGGCTAATTTTTACTCACGAATCAGTGAAAACCCAGCGCCCACGATAATCATAACCAGAGTGACAATCGCTCCAGCAGACACGTAATAGCAGTTTCGTTCGGGTTTGCACATCTTTTCGGCTCTAAATCGAATTTTCGATCTCGAGATGTACTTCTGCGCTCGAGAGTTTCACAATGCAGAATATACTCGAGTGAACTTTTCGATCTTATCGATAAATTTTCGGGTCTTATCAGATAAAAAAACATGTGCTCGAAAACAAGTGGGCTTAATTGTGATGCACTAAAGTGCCTCGAAATGTTTCTCAATCCTCCCGCGCATCCGTGTTGTTTCGCGGGCGAAATTGAGCAAAAAATGTATTCGTTCGTTCGACGATTGAAATGAAAATATAATCGCGAATAGCTTAACAGGCAATCAACGTCTTATCGCGTGCTAGCCGTGCTGTGTCAAATTAAACGATTTAACTTAATACCCGGGTAATACATGCACGTATACATGTATAATGCAGCGGTGCGAGCACGCGGAGGGGTTGAGAGAGAGAGAGAGAGAACCGATCATCGCATGCCGTAAATTGTCCGCAAATATTTACGCTCGAACTACTCGCGCCGCCGCTGGTCGAAGACGTATAAGCTGTACATGTGTAGCACACGTAAACACCGATATATAGGTTACAAAACACGATAATTCGAGGCCAGTTGTGTTACTCGTGTGCTCGGGCGGGCATTTCCGGATCACCTCGGATCCGTTGCGTCTTTCGGCTCTTTCTTTTCCAGAACGACGTCTCGCGTTTCAATCAAGAGCTCATCGCACGAGAAAGAATGCGAGGTATTATATTTTTCTCTCATTGAAGGATTAGTATACAATACTTGGACGTAATGCATATAATACATACGTAACGTCGCGTAATTAGGCCCGTCAAGCATAAGCGTGGCTTGATTTATGCCTACGGTCGTGCGCGCGCCTCCAGCCGAGATAAGAGGAAGCCCGGAGAGCGCCTAATTTTAGGCACACCCGCAGAGTCCCGAGCGCGTGCCGTATGTAATGCAGCCCGGCAACGGCGGCCAAAAGTGTCCCGCGGTGCGATCATATTGTTATGTCTCACATTGACGCGGAAGCTAACAAGTGTCTGATGTCTATTCATGCGAGCGCTTGACTGCGCGTATAATACGCCATGGACGCATCTCGTTATCGTTGCTCGCGCGTCTGCGTGACAACGCGTTGCGTCGATCGCTATGCATAGCATATGATGTGTGCGAGCCAGCTCCGAGCTAGAACACACAAATGGTTACGCAACGCCAGGCCACCAATGAGGTTTTCTTCGATCTCTCCAGATTTTTCCGCTGCGTATTTAAATGCGGCCAACGCAATCGGACACCGAATCACGGATTAGTCAAAGATTTTATTGAAAAAATGCGCAAACGCCCACATTTACGGTAATTGGAGGCACACATACGTAATGCGGTGTCGTTGCCTTTCTCAAATTCAACTCGCACAATATGTCGGTCTTAAACAAAAGTCTCTCTTTCGGCAAGCATTGACACATTTAGGTGTGAGAAAAAAATTGAGAATCGATCGGCGGCGCCTCGATTGTGCGGCTTCTCGTCACCTCATTGAATAATCCTTACTACTGATACTCAATTTCATATTGATTCTTTCACCTCATTCTGGACAGTCTAACTCGAATGTTTCTTTTCATCCTGTATGCACGTCTGCCACTGTGTATAAATTTTCATGTCTCATTGTCGTCGACGAGACGCGGAAACGGCTTAGATTCGGCTGTATTTCATGATTTCCCCCCGGTGTATCATCGAACCAATTATGCCGAGCGGCAACAATAATTACTGTCCGTAAAGGAAGATTTTAAAATCCGACATTAGAAGCCGCGCGCGCGCGCTTGAAGCTCCGTGTGAAAAGTAGGATGGCGGCATGTCCCGCGCCGTCAACCATCCCACAAGTGTACTACGTGTATTATAGACACACACACAAGAGACACGCGCACGAACAAAAAAGGAGTCATCGGCTAGTGGTTGCGAATCGAAGCGCGAGCGGCTCCGTATCGCTATGTCATGTTTTATAACGATGGCGGCCCCGAGACCATGTATATACCGAACGCGTCTTACTCTCACCTCTTCATAATGAAGAGAACAACAAAAAAAATTGAAGAGAGAAGAGAGAGAAGCTACCGCGCGTGTCTTTAGTCCCTCCGCGCATCGCCGATAAAGATCTACGATGTTGTGTATTATTTATGCCTCGAGCTTTTTTGATGGATACACATACAGCTCGAGCGGTAGACGCACGGTCGAACGGGCTCCGTCCGAGGCACCTACGGATCCGTTTCGTACTTTTCGTCTTGGAATGCTGTGTGCGAGTGCGTGTACGTGTACGCGCGCTTACGCGATCTCCACACTTGCCACGCTCGCGATCAGGATACGTGCGTAAAAAAAGATCTCTGCTCCTGGGCATGCAAAGTATAATTTACCTGACGGCCCCGATCTGTTGGTTTTCCTCCTGCACGTATTATACGCTTGTGTATGCATTCGTGAAAAGAGAGAAGTGTTATGTTACGGCGCGCACACGATATTTTACCTATCAGAAATATCTCCGGGAAATGCCCACGTTACATATGGTACTTGCACAAACCCCTGCTTATAGGACGTATGCGGTGACATTTGTGAAAAATACGAAAATTTTACGTATCACTTATTAGACCGAGCGATCTCGCATCGACGACGCTTTTTCAAACGTGTGATTTCTACGTAGAGAGAAAAAAATCCGGAGCTAGCTTGCAAGGTATATAGCTCGGGCAACGGGCGCGCCTTAAACGCTCTGACGCTAAAAGGCATAATCTCTCTCTGTCTCTGTCTCTCGGCTCTCGAGCAGTGTGTCTATAGCCGCGCGCGCGCTCTCGGCTGGCCGGCGGTTCTCTCTTCGGCAAATCAATAAAGCACCCAGACATTAACGAGGTCATCGAATTTACTTTTTACTCTATATTATGCATGTGTAAGGCATCCCACGAAAAAGAGCGAGAGAGAGAGAGAAAAAAAAGAGCGCCTGACGCCGCCGACGCCGCCCTCTCAACACTTTGGCGCGCTCTCCTTTTATGAGGCCCCGCGCGCAGTTTCTCCGATAATACCATTCCTCGCGCGCCGAGGCAGCCAAGAGTGTCAGTTTTCGCATATTGTGTAAATAATCATAATTACGTCTTGGATATTGGAATTATAAAATCGCTATACAATGTCCACGTTGAAACAAATTAAATCAGTTGTAAATTAAAAGGTAGCGTCGATTTGTCACTCTTAAATGCGCCTATTTATGATATTACAAAAAGATCCATCTCGGATTATTCTGACGAATCGCAATAAAGCGAGGCAGTAAATCATTCTCGCAATAAACGCGAAGCGACTAGCCAGATTATCGTAAAAGCAACAATTTTTTTAACACTTTGCACTACCAATCGAAAAATGCTGATTTCGCAGCTTGAAGCAGCTAAGAAGAAGAAGAGCGTCGCCTCTGTCTGCGAGCTGACAGCCATAATTCAGGAGGGTCGAAATTTTCGGGAAAAGGGGTCGAGCGGAGCGAATCAGAGCGTGAAAATGGAATGACCATCGAGCGCACGGATCTTGGCGCTGGACACTGCAACTGTTGGGGCTCATTATCTCGGCTTGACCAGCCAAAAGTTTTAGGGGGCAAATATATGTTAGTCCGGCTAATTTTTCCAACCAATTTGGTGTCTTTTTGCATCTTGTTTTACAAGAATCAAATGGTGATTTATTATTATTGTTGCTGGTAATTCAAGAGCTGTTGATATTAATGAGAATTGATGATACGTTATTAGTAATTCGAACTTTTTGATAATTTTCACGCACGAGTTCGCTTCTTTCTTGAATTTTGGCTTTAGAAAAAAAAGTGAGCAATAATCTCGCTATATTCATAAATCATAACATTGTTAAAATCGATACACCTGATACACACATTGTATATTATGTAACTTTGCATTAGTGCACGCTCGCACGGGCCCGGTAAGCCTCTATAATGAGAGTTTTGCTTCTTAATTATGTCTTCAGGTTTCTCATACGCGTAAAATCAATATTCCATGTAAAATCGCGCGAGCGCCGCGCGCATCTGCAGAGAGAGAGAGCGAGAAAGAGAGCGAGAGGAGATACAGAGGGCCGATTTCGGCATCATCTTCGACGCCTTGTATTTTTCGCCAAAGTGATCAAATAATTTTTCTCCTCGGCGGTATGATGTTTTTATTCGTGGAAAGAGTCGAGGAGAATATAGGCGCAGGGCGCGCAGATGCAGATATATAAACGCGTGTGCGAGATGTTACGATTCCCAAAAACGTAGAGGAAGAGAGAGAGAAAGAGAAAGAGAGAAAGAAAGAGAGAAAGATCATCACTCGGCGAGCGAAACTTATATGGCTCATGAGAGATAGGTCGGAAGTAATTATAAAAGAACTGCAGAGGGACTTTTTAAATATTCCTTGGGGTGAGCGCATACATATACGCACGGGGTATATATGTAGAAACGCCTTCGTTCTTTGTTTTCGGGCCGATCTACCTGTTTCACAAACGAGGTCTAGAAACGACTACAAAGGTAAGTTATACCGCGTCGACTCTATCTCTCTCTCTTTCTTTCTCTTTCTTTCTCTCTTTGAGTTTTATAACCTTTTACCTCCAAAGTCGAGAACGAGAACGAGAAAAAAAGAGGAGGCAATAGAAGAGAGGATCATCATTTTTTTGTTTTGCATTGGGGAACAAAAAAAAGAAGCACATTTACGCTTAACTCACTTTTGGCGCTTTATTGGGTGCTAAAGCCATTCGATGCGTGCTAGCTCTCTCTGTTTCTGTTTCCTTCTCTCGAGTGTGTTTATACGTATTATAACTCGTTTACTCTTTTGCATGCAGCCGTGCTTTATTGAATGGTTTTCTGTTCATTTGGCCACTTGGCTCGGATGAAAAGTTGCGTTAGTAACGATCTGTTCTGTTTACTCGGGGATACTTTATAATATTGCAGAAATGACTCTTTTTCGGACGAAAACTACGAATTCTGCATCGTTGGATTTCTCGAAAAGTAGAAAGAAGGAGGCTCGTCACGAGTGCGAAATTCAGAAA